TGAAATAATTTATTTTTGGTTTAATAATATAACATTTTATAAAGATAATAATTAAGTATTCTGTTAGAACTCATTGATTATCCTAATTATATTTTAGATTTTTTATATTTAAAATGAGATGTTTATCATGTATTTGATTGTGTTTATATGCAATTAGTTACACGAATTGAGATAAAGATGAAATCGTTTAGAAATGAACGAGTTTAAGAGTTTTTTAAAGTTTTAACCAAATGATTTATAAAATAGTTAGATAGATATATTATACTAAATAAGCCCCCCAAACCCCTTAACCCACCCATTTTTCACGATGACCCTCGTCCCCTTCCCGTTCAACAACAACCATATCGGACTCCATGTTTTACCGTCACCGACCAACATATTACTATAAGAGGAAACTACCTCTCTTCTCAAAGCTCACTTTCCACAATACTCCGATCATTTTCCCCATCGAGCACCGGTCATCTTCCCCAAGATACCCCGACCATTGTTCACTTTGTAACCCACTTCAACAGCATTCTCAATCCTCCACCGTCCTCAGTCTCTCTCAGGCCCCACCCTATTTTTTCGACCACCTTCATATTCACCACGGCAACTTTAACCCCCTCCCAAACAACCATCACCAAGACTGCAACCTCTATCCCCGACCTCCTTCACCATATTCTATAACCACCATCACCACTGCACACATTGTGAAAACACACAAACAATCACTAAGAACTGTATACACAGGTTGCACACACTGTGCATACACAGGGAAATGGAGGAAGACGATACCGAGAGGTAGGGTGTTGTAGTTTCTGGGTATTGTCGGCAATGGGAAGGGAAGAGATGGCTGGAAGAAACATAAGGAGATGGAGGAAGACGATGACTGGTTCGGGGGTTCCTGTCTGATGATGCCCCATACTATTCACATAGATTTATATAATATAATTTAACTTTTTAACAGAAAAGTAGTGTAAAGGGGTGAAAAGACTAAAATGCCTCTTACTTAAGGAATAATTTTTAACGAAGTTAATGAGTAAGGACTATTTTTAAAGCCAAATGTAAACCTGAAATCCAGAAAAAGCTAAAATTGTAGTTTACTACTCTGTTGTTTTATAATATAAAATAATACACAGTTAATGTCAATCTTGTTTATAATTCTTATATAATCATGTCCCATTGTACCAAATCAATTAAAAATGGTTTAAAAAGAAATCAAAGTTAAAATAATTGCAAGTTTGGCTAGAATTGTGTGTATATTCAGTGATCCTCAAAAGGGATCTTGAAAAGAATTTGAAGATAAGAGAGAGAGAGAGAGAGAGAGTGTGTGTAACACAGTGTGCTGGGGTACTTGTACAAGATAAAAAGACAAAAGCTTTGCATAAAGAAAAAACCAAATCCTTAATAATGGAGGAGGAGGAGGCTCTGTGTGTGTTTTGTTCTTGTGGGAAGCCATTAGAGTTTGCAGATGAACATCCCCAATGCATCCATCACAGAGAAACCCTCAATTCAATAATATAATCTTTTGATTCTCTCTCTCTCTCTCTCTCTCTCTCTCTTTGATCTCAACAAAAAAGATTCCTCTTTTTATAATCAACCCATCCCGCAATCAAAATCTAGATCAGATGACAGACGACCGTTCGGAAATGTCTGAAGACGACGCCGGCGATGGAACCGCTGCCAGGTCAAGGAACTCCGCCGCCGGAGATTATTTTATTCCTTACCCAGATCAAGTTCTTGAAAACGTACTCGAAAACGTTCTGGTTTTCTTGAAATCACGGCGTGACCGGAACGCCGTCTCTCTCGTCTGCAAGTCGTGGTACCGTGCTGAAGCGTATACCAGATCGGATGTGTTCATCGGAAACTGCTACGCGGTGGCTCCACGGCGGGTCACACAACGCTTCCGCCGTGTCCGGTCCGTTACGATAAAGGGAAGACCACGGTTTGCTGATTTTGGACTCGTGCCACGGGACTGGGGTGCACACTTCTCACCCTGGGTTTCCACCATGGCCATCGCTTATCGTTCGCTGGAGAAGATCCACCTCAAACGGATGTCCGTCACCGACGACGATCTGGCGGTGATTGCTCACTCTTTTCCCACTTTCAAGGAGCTCATTTTGGTCTGCTGTGAAGGTTTCGGCACCAGTGGACTCGCCGTCGTCGTTAGCGACTGCCGGTAATTTCTTGAATTCATCCCCATTTTATATAGATCTGTTCTATGTGGATCCCAATTCTTAAAATCAAATGATCAGTTGTAGCTCATTGTGATGAAATTTCATTTATTCAGGCGGCTGCGAGTTCTTGAGTTAATTGAGGATGATGTTTCCGACGATGAAGTCGACTGGATTTCATGTTTTCCGGTGGATATTCCGACCAACTTGGAATCTTTAACTTTTGATTGTGTTGAATCCCCTATTAATTTCGATTCTTTAGAGAAGCTAGTAGCAAGATCGCCATTTTTAAAGAAGCTTAGATTGAATCGTTACATCTCCATAGCTCAACTTTATCGATTAATCATTCGAGCACCACAATTGACCCATTTAGGCACCGGATCTTTTAGTCCTCCAGAACAACAACAACAACAACAACAACAACAGAATGATAACAATCGAGATTCCGATTTCGTTTCTGCATTTGCTGCTTGCAGAGGGATTGTTTGTCTTTCTGGGTTCAGAGAAATCTCACCGGAATATCTTCCGGCGATCGTTCCGGTATGCGCTAATCTTACGTCCTTAAATCTTAGCTATGCCAACATCGATGCCGAACAGCTGAAACCCGTTATTCGTCACTGCCATAAACTTCAAGTTTTCTGGGTATGTTTTATTTTTTCAAGATTTCTTGAAAGTTCAAATCTTTTTATACCTAAAGTTATATGCATATTTGGATGTTCATTACGCCTATCATCTACATTACACCCAAAAGAATCGACATTATCGAAGGAAATTCATGACTTAGATCCCATTTTGCTATTTATGATCCACGTTTTATGTAGAACCCATTAAACCACTCTCTAAAAGAGCCCAAAGAGAATGGAGGTTGCAATATATATAGAGAAGAAATGGTCAAAGTTTAGCCGATATGGGCTCTAATACCCCCGAGGGGAGCTAGACCAGCACGTATTATGACGAAGTGTCAAGAGGGGGCGTATAGATTATACCTGAGAGTCGAGTGGGAGCTAGACATGTATAGATTGCCCTAGATTGTTTAGGTCTTAAGAGTCATAAATCTTGTCTATGATACCATATGAGAATACTTAAAACCCCATTAGATTACTCTCCAAAGAGTCTTTGAGGAGATCAATTGAGGAGAAATGGTCAAACTCTAGCTGACGTGAAACTATAACAATTTCGATCTTTCTCTGTAGGTACTTGATTCAATCTGTGATGAAGGCCTTCAGGCAGTGGGAGCCACATGCAAAGATCTTCGTGAGCTTCGTGTTTTCCCGATCGATGCTACCGAAAACGCTGAAGTGCCCGTTTCTGATGTGGGTCTACTTGCGATTTCTCTAGGCTGTAGGAAACTCCGATCGATTCTTTACTTCTGTCAGCAGATGACTAATGCCGCAGTCATAGCCATGTCTAAAAACTGCCCGGATCTTGTTGTTTTCCGGCTCTGTATTATTGACCGATACAGACCGGACCATGTCACCGGTGAACCGATGGATGAGGGGTTTGGAGCCATCGTCAAGAACTGTAAGAAACTTACTCGGCTCGCAGTTTCTGGTTTACTTACGGATAGGGCGTTTAGTTACATAGGGCAATATGGTAAACTCGTGAGAACGTTATCGGTGGCGTTTAATGGAGAAAGTGATATCGGGCTGAAGTACATTTTAGAAGGGTGCACCAATTTGCAAAAGCTTGAGATCAGAGATAGCCCCTTTGGAGATTCGGCTTTATGGTCGGGTCTACACCATTTTTACAATATGAGATTCGTTTGGATGTCATCTTGTCGAGTGACTCGACAAGGGTGCACCAATGTGGCTCGACAGTTACCGAGGTTGGTGGTGGAAGTGTTCCGTGGGGATGGGGTGGAAGGCGGGGAGAGGGGCGATTTCGTCGATACGCTTTATATGTACCGAAGTCTCGACGGCCCACGAGCTGATGCGCCACACTACGTCAACATTTTGTGACAGGTCTATTGAAACGGCTTTTGGGGCCTAAAAGGATCGGTCTTTCTTCCTTAACTCGGGTTTTTTCCTGATGGGTACGAGGAAAAAGCACATTTTTCGTGCCAAAGATTAATCTTTTCGGTTTTATGCTCGTTTTCTTTCAATCTTTTCTCTTCATATTCATTAAGCTTCGGATCGAGCTGCAGGAATTAGAGGGATCAGATCGATGGTCGAACTTGAACTTGATCCTGGAAACAGCAAAGATACTGAAGAATTCGGGGTTTTCCTTCTTTAGCCGTCGCAGGTAGTCGGGCTTTTTCAGGCCGGGCTTCGGTCACGGGCTTTTTGTGCATCTTTAAGTCGGGTAGATGATGATCATAATTCATAGTATTCTTTTCCTTTGTTAGCAAGTAGACAACATTTGGATCCTGCTTTTATGTTTGGTAAATCTCCTCTCCAGGGGTAAAACCGTCAAATCCGCAATCGTGCTTTAGGAACTTGTACCTTGTGCTGACTGCTGAGGATTTGGTATTTTTGTAGCTATCTTCGTACTATTCTTTTTTTCCTTTGCTAGTAGCCAACATTTGAGGTGATGCTTTGTGTTTGGCAGCTCTTGTTCTCCAGGGGTATAATAGTCAAATCCCGGATCATGACTTGTACCTTGAGCATTGAGAGTTGTACATTGATCAAGATTTGGTATTTTTATAGCTCTAGGAAATAATTTTTGTTCAGTTATCTTTTCCTTCAGGGCTACAATGGTAAATTTGCAGCTATGCTATATTGACTTGTACACCATGCATTAAGAGTTGTACATTGCCAAGTCTTTGATAGAGTAAATTACAGTTTTGGCCTCCGTGGTTGGTGTATGCTATTTATTTACATCAATCTTTTTATTTTTATTTTTCACAATTACAATTTTGGTACCTTAATTTTGTGATTTATTTGTTTTTATTTTAAAAAATATTAAAGTTCTAATAGCTTTTAAATTAAATTATATTTTTTGTCCCTATGGTTTAGAAATTGCAATTTTTATCCCTATAATTTGTATTTCCATACTATTTTGTTCTTATGATTGACATCTTTTTGTTGGTTTACCATTATTTATTATTTTGAGCCGTTGTACTTTAAAGGTACGAATTTAACCACAAAAGACATAATTTAACCATAAGGGTGGTGCATGATCGGTTTGAGTCTAACTCCAAAGGTCAAAAGTACCAGGACATCTCAGGTTCAAATCCAATGAGGAATAAAAATTCTCTTGTGGTCAAAGAGATTCAAATGCAATAACTCCAAACTATCTGCAAAGCAGGAGATTGTCCTGAGATTAATCAGCTTGCATAATGAATTGGATATCCAAGTTATTAAAAAAAGACAATAATCTAAATTATTAACAAACTACCTGATCAAAAATTGAAATTTACTCTAGTTTTTATGTGTTTATAAATTATTTTATATTAACTTTAATCTTGAGTTTCAATAAATTGAAGGATTATGTATTCTAACTTATGTTAAATAGTAAATACTTTTTATATATATATATATATATATATATATATTATAATGGCATGTTTGTTTTGTATAATAGAAAAGTTTAATTTAGAATTAATAATAAAAACTATTAATTCAGTTAAAAAACAAGTATAATTTGAAATTTTAATAATTTAAAAATAGGGAGCCTTTTTTGAGAGCTCTTACATTCTGAGAACCCTTACAACTTAAGTAACATCTGCTATTTTATATGATATATTTTTTTTCTTTCCATACAAGACTGATTTAGAATATTGTATGTTTGTTTTACTCTGTGCTTGTTTTTACATGTATTTGGTTCTTAATGTGAAACTTTTTAACGTGTTTGTGAAAGAAAAAAAATTACACAGTATCACGTTAGGAAACAAATATATGTTAATCAATACATTAAACACTAACTTGGATAAAAAAAAAAACACATGTGAAAGAATATCTTAAGTTAAAAGTTTTCACAATTATCACAATATATAGGGTTCTCATTTGATTAAGCCCCTATCGAGAATTTATATAACTAGAGATAGAAAGAAATATACCTAGAAATCTTGTATGTTTGTGTAAGAGTTGGTATTACCGGTTAGAGAAATTTTTTTATGAATAAAAATACCAAAATATTTGTTTACTTAATTTTTTAAGAGTGAATTACATTTTTGTTCCAAAAATCATGTTTTTAAGCCCAAATGAGTCCCTCTTGTTGACGCTTTGAAACTGCCTCTGTTAAGTAGGTCATGTGCCCCTCACATAGGGGCATTTTGGTCTCGTTTTAGTAATCTTCTTCATCCTAATCACCACCACCACTGCCATCATCTACCCGTACATGATTTCAAGAGCAAATCCAAAAAAAATCAAGAACAATAGAAGTGGAAAGAAAGATTAAAAACGGATTTCTCAAACCCGTAAATGAAAAAATTAATACATATACAAGAAACAACCCAGATACATATGCAAACACCTAAATGAAATCTCTTAACATTACAAACAAAAACTGAAACCCCAAACCAATCTAATCTAGATCTATGGATCGAAACCCTAAATAAAACTGAATCCCTAAACAAATCTAACCTTAATATGTGGATCCAAACCTCAAACAAAAATCAAAGATACTGGGGATTAGCCGAAAACGCTTCTGGTGATGCTCATGGTTATCGGCTTTAGTTCCACACATTCGATTTCGAGTTCCACACTTGTAGACGACGGATATGGTTTTCACATTGTACTTTACAAATTGAAGGACCACTAATGTATTTTACAAATGGGAGAAGTACAATAAAAACCAATGGACTTTCTTGTTTGGAATGATTAAGTCCTTGGACTTTTTTTTGGAACAAATAAGTCCTTGGACATTCCAAAACATGTTAAATAAGTTTTTGGACAATTTTTTGGAACAAATAAGTCCTTGGACATTCCAAAACATGTTAAATAAGTCCTTGGACAATTTTTTGGAACAAATAAGTCCTTGGACATTCCAAAACATGTTAAATAAGTTTTTGGACAATTTTTTGGAACAAATAAGTTCTTGAACATTCCAAAATATGTTAAATAAGTCATTGGACAATTTTTGGAACAAATAAGTCCTTGGACATTCCAAAAAATGTTAAATAACTCCTTGGACAATTTTTGGAACAAATAAGTCCTTGGACATTCCAAAAAATGTTAAATAACTCATTAGACAATTTTTGGAACAAATAAGTCATTGAACAATCCAAAACATGTTAAATAACTTCTTGAACTTTTATAAAACATGTTAGATACATTCTTATAACTTGTACAGCTAGTTAAAGTGGTAAAATAGTGAAAAAAAATCCCCAAAAAACTCCAATGAACATTCGTATTTTGAACGATAAAGTGGTAAAATAGTGAAAAAAATCCGGAAAAAACCCCAATGAACATTCATATTTTGAACGATAAAGTGATAAAATAGTGAAAACAATCCGGAAATATATTTTGTCAGTGATTTTTTAAACTAAAAAAATAAAAAATATAAAAAATATATTATTTTTAATTAAAATAAATTTCACCAGTAATCTTTTTAAATCTTTTTTTTTAATTTAAAAAATCACATACATGATATATATATTTTTAATTAAAATAAATTTAATAATAATTATTTTTTTTGTTTGAAAAATCACTGACATAATATATTTTAATTTTAATTAAAATAAACTTTATCAAAAATCTTTTTTAAATGTAATTATTTTTTGTAAATGTAAGTATTTTTTTGTTATATTTGTTTAATTTTATAGATCTAAATACTTTTTGGTTCAAAAAATATTTAGGGGCTTAATCGTTCAAAATATGAATGTTTATTGGGGTTTTTTCCCGATTTTTTTTTCACTGTTTTACCACTTTAACTAGTTGTACAAGTCATAAGAATGTATCCAACATGTTTTATAAAAGTTCAAGAAGTTATTTAACATGTTTTGGATTGTTCAATGACTTATTTGTTCCAAAAATTGTCCAAGGAGTTATTTAACATTTTTTGGAATGTCCAAGAACTTATTTATTCCAAAAATTGTCCAAGGACTTATTTAACATATTTTGGAATATCCAATGACTTATTTAACATGTTTTGGAATGTCCAAAAACTTATTTGTTCCAAAAAAAAGTCTAAGAACTTAATCATTCCAAACAAAAAAATTCATTGGTTTTTATTGTACTTTTCCCTTTACAAATCGGAGGGATGTGGAATGACCAAAGTCCAAAAATGTAATTCACTCTTTTATTAATGTAATTGATATTTTTGGAGCTCTTGAAAAAGAGTTTTGAAGATGGGACACTTGAGTGTGTGAAATTATTTATATTTATAGTTGTTGAATTGTACTTTGTGCTTGTGAGTGGGTACATCAAGTACAAAGATGGGGGGCGGGGTTGTGGGGTCAGAAGTCACACCACCTGAATTGCTTTTGGAGTTGCCCCAACCTTCTTTCCAAGAAATCTTCAACTATTATTTTACCTTGGTAAATCTTCTTTTTTTCACCAGGGATAAAATGGTCAAATCAATCATGTGTAGGCTGAGTTGTACTAAAGGAACTAAAATTTGTACTTTCCTATGTCAAACCTGACATGTTGCTATGGACAAATAAATATGAGAAGTTACATCTCAAACTTTTTTATTTTATTAAGAGGTATATTTAAAGGGAAGTGTTTGGTTGGTTTTTTATAAAGTGTTATTATAAATGAATTTGTATGTATTAAATAATTTGTCTTTATAGATCGAGAAAGTTTTTATATGAAAAGGTTTTTTTATAGATGGAAGTATAAAGTTGAAAAAAAACTTGATTTTTTTTTTACATAAAATTATCCTAGAAACTTACTGAATAAGTCATTTTTTTATATTATTAAGTCATTATCAAACACTTATAACTGATTAAATAAGTTGTAAGTCTCATTAAAGGGTTGTTCGGTTAATTTTCTAATAAGACTTGTATGAATAAAGTTGTATGTATTTATAAAGTTGTCTGTATGATAACAGATAAGTTATTGTTCAGTTGTTTTATTGAATAAACAGTTTGAATATAATAAAATAATCATTTTACCCCCCACTCTATATTTTTGTTGAATAAAACAACTATTTGATAAAAATATTGAATAAATGACTTTTAATTATAAAAGAAAATATCAATTTTTTAAACATTTTCTAAATAGAAACCATATCTCTCTCTAACATTTCATTAAACATCTTGTATTCTAACCAAACTCTCCTGCTTTAACTTGTGTCTTTGTGTGTTTCAATAGGAACCCATCAAAATTTACATTAAAATCCCAATGGTATGAGATCGAGGAGATAACCAAATTGAGATTGAGGAGAGAAACCCTCATGTTGAACCAAATCGAGATCGAGGAGAAAACCTTCCCACTTAACCAAATCGAGATTGAGGAGATATGGAAAGGATGGAGATCAAGAGATGGAAGGAGTGCAGATCGAGAGATGGAAAATTAAAAATGACTGAAGATGAGATTAAATGGCTGGATATGGAAAGAATTGAGATGGAATGAGCAAAGATCGAGAGATGGAAAGATTGGAAATGGAAGGAGCGTAGAGGTTGAAGAGAAGAGGTTGAAGGGTAGTTGGGGAATTAATGAAAACTTAGGGGGTGTTTGGGATTGCTTATTTAAAACAAATTGTGTTTTTTTTTTTGTAAAAGTGCTTATCAACTTATGTGGTATCAAATCGGAGTTAAATAAAATATGATTAAAATTGTAAACTGGTAATAAGCAGTTTTTATAAGTCATGAATGATTAACTTATCAAAAACAGCTTATTACCGGTTTGGCACCGGTATAAACAATTTTTTTTTTCTTATCCAAACACCATAAAATAGTTTATCG